ATCCTTTTTTTTTTTTTTTAAACATTTTTGTATTTATTATGTATACAGTGTTCTTCCCCCAGAAGAGGGCACCAGATCTCATTACAGATGGTTGCAAACCACCATGTGGTTTCTGGGAATTGAACTCAGGACCTCTGGAAGAGCAGTCTGTGCTTTTAACCTCTGAGCCATCTCTCCAGCCCTAGAATCCCTTTTTAAGCTTTGTCAGGTTTTATGTGGAAATTTCAGCCACATGTTGGAAATCCATATGTAAATGGACATTTCCTGTCCCAACACCCTGTTCCCAAATGTCTGGCAGCTACTTTCCAAATTACCACACAGAGACTTAATATAAATTTTAAATGCTCAGCCAATAGCTCAGGCTTATTACTAACTAGCTCTTACATTTTAAGTTAACCCACATTCTTCACTTATGCTCTGTTATGTGGTGGTGCCTTTATTAGCATGGCATGTTCATCTCCTTCTCCCTCTGCATCTGGATTGTGACCCCTGACTCTGCCCATCTCCTTCCCATCACCCTTAGTTTGGTTTCCCAACCTATACTTCCTGCCTGGCTACTGACCAATCAGTGTTTTATTAAACCAATTTAGTGACAAACCTTTACAGTGCAGAAAAGGATTATGCCACAGCAATTAATCATATGTTTGCACGTGTGTGTGTGCACACATGCCATATCATACATGTGGAGGTCAGAGGACACCTGTGGGAGTCGATTCTCTCCTCCACCATGTGGGTCTCAGGGACTGATGCCAGGTCATCAGGTTTGGCAGCAGATGCCTTTATCACTGGGGCACCTTGTCAACCCTAAACAATGACTTTATAATTTATGCAGAAAAAGGAACAAGGAGACCAATGAGGTGGCTCACTTGGACCCCTGGCATCTCTGCCAAGATGCTGGGGGCTTCCTGCATGGCAGGCCTCCGGGCTGCTGGATATCAGACCTCACTGAAGGGTGGGAATTCGACAAGCATTTCTGGCCTTAACCTGGGGCAGAATGTCAGTACTGCAGCGTGGTTTTCTGCGTGGCCTTTCTCCTTCCCCCACCGTTGGAGGGGAAGTTGCTGAACATTGTTTATCTCAGCTCTGCAGGGGAAGTGTGCAGAGGGCAGGTAGGTGTGTTTCAGGTGGTCTGCCTGCTGCCCTGACGCAGTCCTCTGTGTCACTCGGGTTCTGCTCTAGGGTCACCTCTTAGGGATGTCCTCCTGATCACTGTCCTGAACAGTCCCCCATCCTCCCAGGTCTCTGCTAACTCCTTCCTAAGCCTGCACTGTCTGAGTTGGTCCTATTACCTGTTGTGTTCCCCATCAGACATGCACACCATGATGACAGGGACCTTGTATGTCTTATATGTCCGGAGTCCAAAGCGGCAAGCCAGGGATACCGTAGATGCTCAGGTGGCTCACCGAAGCGTATAACCTCACCTCTTCATTTTAAAGAAGACAAGAGGCTCATGGAGGGCAAGCTACTTGCTTGAGTTTGCACAGCCAGCTTGGACTCGGTTCCAGTGAATTTGGAAGTTATCTCTTTCTGACTGCTAAGAAAGGGAGAGGTAGGGACCTACCAGCAGGTAGCACACGTGAGAGTCTAAAGGGACCCCAGGAGCCAGGCATGGTAGCACACATGACTGTAATCCCAGCACTCAGGAGACTGAGGTAGGAGGATTGCCACATGCACCACTGTTCAAGGCGTGTGTGTGTGTGTGTGTGTGTGTGTGTGTGTGTGTGTGTATGCATGTGTGCACATGGGTATACATTTGATTGTGTGTGCCTATGCATAAGTGCGTGCATGTGTGTGAAGGTCAGAAGACAACCTCAGGTATCACTTCTCAGGAGCTTTCCACCTTGTGTTTTGAGTCAGGGTATCTCCCTGGCCTGGAGTTCTTCAGATAGGCTATGCTGGCCTCAAGGATCCACCTGTCTTTATGCCCCAATGCTGGAGTTACAGGCACATGCAACCACGCTTGATTTTGTTTTTTAATTCAGTATTTATTTATTTATTTATTTATTTGTTTGTTTATTTGTGGTGTGCATATGTGTATGCATGTCTGGTGTGAACATGCAGAGGTCAGAAGACAACTTGTAGGAATTGGTTCTCACCTTCCTAGGTCCCAGGCTTGAAGGCAGGTCATCAGGCTTGGGGACAAGTGGCTTTACATACTCAACCATCTCACTAGCCCATGCTCAGCTTTCTCCAGGTGTGCTGGGGACTCAAACTCAGGTAGCCCCTCATGCTTGCTGCATAAGCACTCTTACCCACTGAACCATCTCCCCCACCACACCCATTTGGTTTTGTTTTAATGTGGGTTTTATGGACTGAACTCAGCTCCTCACACTTGTAAGGCAAACACATAACCTGCAGAGCTGTGCCTGTCCCTGACCTGCAGACCTGTGCCTGTCCCTGACCTGCAGACCTGTGCCCCAGCCTGTCCCTGGATTTGCCTGATGGAATTCTCAGGAAGCTCTGAATACAGGCTCATGGGTGAGGGGCAGGCCTCCTGGAACTGACTGTAATTATTGATGCTGTTGTCCGCTGGGTGGAGGGAGAGGACGTATGCTCCAGAACAAGGCTCCCCTCCCCATGTCTCTCTCTGGGAATGTCCCATAAGCCTGGCTTGTACCATTTCCCTCCCTGGAAGAAAACTCCCAAGCAGAGGACTTAGCATAAGGACAGGCTCCACGTCCGCCTTCCTAATCCCCTCCTGCCACTGGGCCCTGGAACCTGATGGACATTGCCTAAAGGGGCCCTCAGTCACAGCCACACTGCTCAAGGCTTCAGCGTGGAGCCACACCTGGCTTCCCAACCTGGTCTTCCTGAAGTCTTCATGATCCTCCACACTGGTGACCTCAGCACCTGTCAAAGACCCGAGGACCCACTTGGGCCGCTCAGTGCCCCTCCACACCTGTCCTTGGAGACTTCCTTTGTCCCTGTTGCAAAGTCACCTCCTGGGCTGGAGCAATGGCTCTGTGGTTAAGAGCGCTGGCAGCTTCTGCAGAGGACCATTCCTCTGTGCGTGGGTGAAGGCACATACATTGTTCCCGTGGAGACCAGAGGACATACCCTCATGTGACTTCCAACTTTTGTTTGAGTCTTTGGAACTTCCATATATAGGTCAGGCTAGTTGGCCACTGAGCTCCTCAACATCTGTCCATCTTCACCTCCCACCTGGCGATGTAATGGCTGGGATTACAGATGTGTGCCACTGTACATGGCTTTTTACATGTGGGTCCTGGGGATCCAAACTAACTCCTCACAATTGCCAGGCAACTAGTTTGCTGACTGATCTATCTTCCCAGCCAGACTTCTTCATTTATTTGATTTTATTTCTTGTTGTTGTTGCCTTTAAAATATTTTATTCATTCACTTATTTTTGAGACAGAGTCTCACCATCTCTCCCTGGCTCACCTAGAACTCACTATGTAGATCAGGCTAGCTTTGAACTCACAAGATCTGCCTGCCACTCCCTCCAGAGTGCTGGGATTAAAGTGGTGGGCTGTGTGGTGGTTTAAATAAGAATGGCCCCCATAGGCTCATACGTTTGAAAGCTTAATCACCAGGGAGTGTCACCATCTGGAAAGATTATAATGGTTAGTGTGTCACTGGAGGTGGGCTTTGGGGTTTCAAAAGCCAGGCCCAGCCTCCCTCCCTCCCTCCC